TATATACACATTTCTAATTGTTTTTTTTGCAGGATATTAGAAATTTTCTTAAATTTATCTCTTATTGTTCTGTCGGATTTCGACTATATGAAGTAAAAAAATCCGTCGCGTAACATCGTGAGAAAATATTATGACAGGACTACGGATGCATCCGAAGTCTAATAAAAGACGACACATGTAAAATAAATCGAACACAATGTATTATAATGGATACACTTTCACAGTGTATTATTATCATGGGTAAGCTTCACAATCCTGTCTTAATATTTTCTCGGCGCAAGGGGACCTTTCAGATCAGAACCATTCGGCGTCGAACTCGGCTAAATCAAAATTCAGAGCCACCGAAACCATACCGGATAAATTTTTCCGACTAAGAACTGCAGCATCCGTTCTAGAGCTAGCCTGCTTTCTAGGGCATGGAACTTGTCGGGCACCATCACACCGGCTGCTTGACCAATTTGTCTTCCAATCCTCTTCGAAGGAGCTTGGATTGCAGAAGAAGAGCAGCCCTAGCCTTACGACCGAATCCCTTCACGTCCCATTCAAGAAGGTGCTTTAGATCTTATTCTCAAGTGAGTTTCTAACCCTTCTCCCGCTATTTCTTTTCTGCTTGCCCTTTCCAATGACTTCTTTTTTCGGGAGTTCTCTTTATGTTTATGTTTACTTATCACTTTTTTTGCAGAATGCAGGGCCGATTGTAGTAATGGGAGCGGTGGTAGGCGAGGAGGAGGAAACAAAGCAGGCGAAAGAGATGGCGGCCGCACGGAAAAGATGGGAATCTCTGGTAATTATCACTGCATTTTGTAAGATTGGCTTTTTCTCGTGCTGATGAAGGGAGATATGTATTATATTTGGCGTGGAGGTGATAAGAGATGAATACAACTACAACATGTCCCACTTTGGATCCAGAAGATGGTTTAAACCGATAAGTCGGCAACCTAGGGCATGATAAAATCAACTGAACCTATTTTGTATTCTTAAAAGAAGAATTGTATGCAAGTAACAATAAAAACACCAGAAAATATAAATTAAATTCCACAATAAAAATTTAACATATACAACAAAACACACTAGAAAACTGGCTGAAACAAACCGAAATGACAATAAGAAAACATCCAATCCCAAAAATGATAAAAATCTAGAATGGAAAAGGCTGATCCTATAGGGCCGGTATTACAAGTAGCTGAATAAAACTTGTTATATAAACACATCAATGAACGAATTTGACTAATCAAACTTAGTAAATAATTACTATTTACTAAAGCATAAACAAAAAAGAAATGAAACATGCATTATGAATAATAATACGAACAAGTCACTATGTTGATAACTGAAAGTTTCAAAGAATATCAAATATTTATGATCATGAATATAAGTAACTTGAACACATGTATTTTTATTTAGATATTTATAGCTTACTATGTCAACTGCGTTTATGCATATAAGATTAATAATATTTTAACATTATCTGATAATATACAAGTGCAGCAGGGAGTGTGTATGTGTGTGTATACATATAATTACATTTATATAGTCGGTTTTCTACGACACACCGAAATAAGGAAATATCGACACCAATCCCACGAAAATAAATTGATTTATCTGAGGACTCGTTAGTTCGACTAGCTATAAGAAAGTTGTGTTTAATACCGATATAATAATATTATAATATCACATATATTTCATGCACCATGATCAAAACACAAGAATATATCTATAATATAGCCACCAATATTTATAAACAATTATGAAATTATGATAATGAGATTTAACACTTCAAATTATAATAAAATAATAAGTACTTGAAACATAAGATATAAGTAATTAATAGAAGTTTATGTAGCAAGAAGTCAATATTAATTACTTATGCAAATTTATTATAAACAATAAATAATTCTACTACAATTATATTAACAAAATTTAATGTTAAGCCTGAGAAACCTCTAATTATTTAGTAATTTAATATAAATAGCAAAATAATGCCCCTAACAATGAATGATACGTGTATCCCTTAATAAAAAACAATTACTAACCTCGACGCTAGATATTGAGTTTCAAATTTATCAAAAGTTTAATTAGCAACATCTGACAAGATTCTCAAAAGTCCTACACCAATGATTATCCAACTTATTATAAATACATTAATGAGAGTATAAAGTTACTCATTAACAAATTAATTGGAACATAACTAGTTTAGATGATGTTATGGTATAACCAAATTTGTTATTAAATTCTTTAATATCATCTGTGACAATAATATTGATTTAAGTTAACCTCGACATGGTTTAAAATGAGATTAGAAACTTGAGCATGAAATTTCAAATTCATAAATGCTTAAGACTTAAGTTCATACAATTAATAAGAAAGAATAGAAGTAGAAATACAGGAGGAGTGAGCTCTCCTTAGTTCTCGCTACGGTGGTAAGGAGAATGGGGCTACGAAGTTGCTAAGAGGAGAAAGATAGGAGTTTTGGTGGTTTTTATATGCCGCAATGCCCTCATTCTCTTCATAACTAGCTCTAATTGCTACTGGATCTCTAGGGTCCAAAGGAGGAGAAGGATAAGAGTTTCGGTGGTCTTTGTAGGGGAGTTCGACTATGAGATGCTGATGCCCTAACCTTCAGCTTTTTTAATAGAGCCGAGATGCAGTTTAACAACAAATGCGGGAGAAGAAAAAAGAAAGAAGTATGGTGGGAGGTTGCACGAGTCCTCAAAATGGAAGACGACTAGAAGAAAGGAAAGAAATTTACGTGATCTAGTCGAGCAAAATGGGAATGGAAGAAGAAAAGAAAAAATTCAAATCTAATGCCATAGAACTTTGCTTCTGCTGCAACGTTAATTTTATTTGATAATTAATCAAATGGCTACATTTGTATTGACAGTTACCAACCTCATAACTAGTTAACTGAATTTTAATATCAGGATAGGGAATTTAGGAACTGTCATATCAGATGGTTTACTCCTTAAAAACCATTAATGTTAGTGGTATTTTTATGTAATTTTAAGGATTTGAGTGTTATATAAATAAATATTAAGATTTAAATGTTAATATGTTAATACATATGATTTGTGTGGTATGTATGCAATTGTGAGTGGAATTTACATACATCCACACAATTCTTATTTATTTACGTATCCAACTCCTAAACTTTAATCTTTATATTCATAACACTCAAATATTTAACATCCCATAAAAAAATACCACAATACTAACTTCTTAAAAGTCAAATTCATCTTTTTATGCATAGGTTTATAATACCAAGGTGTTATAAATATAAATATCAAACTTTAGGTGTTAGATATGAAAATTCATAAGAATTGTATGGTGCATATGTAAATTTACCTTTTTTTTTACTGATTGTTTTCTCTATATCTTAGAAGTCAACTTATTATCATATAGAGCTATATGATGTACATATTATGCCGGGCTTTTTACATACCGCAGTTCCCAAACCTGACTATTTACATCTTGTGGCTCCCAAACTCCAACGTTGCTCGCTGCATTTTTGCTGCACCTGTCAGCGATTCTTTTGGCGATGGACTGAAGGCAATGGTGGGGACACCGCGTTGGAAGGCTTGAGAGCCCCATCGTTGATGGATCGAGATCAGATGTAGAAGGAATTGGGGCAGGATCTAAAATTGAAAGCGAATTAGATTGAGAATCAAATCAAATTGCTTAAAAGTTCGAAAGTTAGATGAAGATCGATGGCAGAGGAAGACTTTTACTATTAAGATGAAGTTAGGAATGCGATTGGGTACTTACAGGGGCAGCTTGGAAGAGAGATCATTGAAGAATGAGACTCAACGACTCACTACCATGGCCTTAAATCGAGGTGGATTGATTGCGGAATTAGGTCCATCAAGGTTGCCGAGAAAAAAAGGCGAATTGTGCTTGGTGTGCGGAATTAGGTCCATCAAGGTTGCCGAGAAAAAAGGGCGAATTGTGCTTGGTGCCAGTTTAATAGGACGAGAATGGTGTACAAGCCCTTGAGACGGGGAGTGGTGGTACCGGGGAAGATAAGGATGAGGTTGAGGATGGAAAGAAAAGTAGAGAACGCTGACAGGTGCAGCGAAGATGGATGGAGGGGATGCCGCGCGATGGATGGAGGGCGTAACGAAGACCTTAATGCGCAAAATAGGAGGTTGGGAGATCCGAGTTGTAAATAGTCAGGTTTGGGAGCTGCAGTATTTAAAAAGCCTTATTATGTTTTGTTATAAAGCTATATGTGCTGTGTAGGTTAGGGAACAAAAGGTCAAAGTTCTTACACCAAAAGAAGCTGGTTATGCAATACAACTTTCCTACAAAACTTTGCTTGATGTTCGTCCCTCGACTGAGTACAATAAGGTTCAAATCATCAATAGGCCTAGCTCTTGCTTATGCATTTTTGTACTCATATATAAATTTTAATATGTTCTTATTTTTGCAGGCAAGGGTAAAAGGTTCCACATGGATACCAATTTTTGATGTAGATACTACTATTGACATTGGCAGTTTGTCTAGAAAGATTACAAACTTTGTAATGGGTATTGAAAAAAATAAAATTTTCTCCTTTTGATTTATTTTGTTCGAGCAAGTGGTAGTTGAATAATATGCACTCATTTATTGTAGTAGCATCCAACTCTTGTAACTTTTTTACTTATATGTCATTATTAAGATGGAGTCGTCATTGTCATTGTCATCATCAATCATCATTAGCTTAATCACAAGTCACTACTCTTTGGTACTGGTTTTTTCAATTCTCATTTTACAATCATCTCTACTCAGTGTTACATGCATGTCAACATTACTCTACACAATTATTTTTTTCTCACAACTTCCATCCAAATTACCTTTGATTAACCCTTTTCATTATAATTCTTAGACATTAATGTTATCTGCTCACCGGATAGGATCATGAAATAGCATAAAAAATTGAATTCTATTATCTTTTATCCCTTGTTATTATTGAATACACGCATTGATCAGAGCTTCATGGATTTTGTTCTTCTCTTTTTCCATGTTTACATCTATTTTTCTACTAAATTTCTTTTATAGAAGAAAGTTTACAACTAAAGTGCATGTTTACAACTAAAGTGCATGTTTGCAGCAACAATAACAATGAATGTTGATATTTATTCTCTGATCAATGCTGCATATCTAAATTAGCTGTATGAATGATATGAACACTACCACGAACTGATATGGAGTCCTCATTGAACTGGGATGCCTTATCTTAAAACAAATTAACAGTAAACTTGTACATAACATATTACCGGACATGTGAGTCTCTCCTGTTGCATCAAGCCTCCTTTTTTGTTAGTGATTTGCCTAGAGCCTGGCGAATTTTTATTGTTTATCACTTTGGACTTGATAATTTGTCTTTTGGCAAGCTTTAGGACTTTGAAACTGTGAAATACAAGCAATGAGAAAAAGTGCGTTGCATAAATATGAACTGAAACTTAGTGATTAGAAGTCTAGAGGTTGTCTTCAACGTCATGTGATGCAGTGACAGATGCCTGCTCTCAGTGACCTATCTTGGAGTCATTATTAGTGCAGGTTTAGTCTATCATATTATGTTTTATATCATGGTTTTAGAATATAGTGACATAGCTAGTCATACTATTTATGTTACTTTCCCTTATTTGTTTTTTATAATCTATCAAGGTTAAAATGGTCATTTATCATTTTGTGTATCCTTTCTATTGTCTTAATGCTATTAGAATTACATCTTGCATGCTGTAGTTACACTTAAATACAATAATTCAAAGCTTGATTTGATTGCTGCAAAATAGCTGGTAAATAAAACAGAAAGAAATGGCTTCTTCTCTGGTCCTGTTTCTAAGCTATTATAGTAGATTCTTTCTTAGCCATGAGATCCCATCTCTGTCCAACCCGTCTCCTTTTCTCCAAGGTATTCATTGTTCTAAGATTCTCAATCACTTTCTTTTCATTTCTCCAGTAGGCATTCCTCTATGTTAGATTTTCTCCTTCTCTACCATCATGGATTCAAAAGTTTTATTATGAACATCAACTTCATTGCCTCCATCATTCTCATAGTCATGTCCACATTTTATGTTAAAATGCTTGAGATCTTTTGCCCAAGCATTTCACACGTTGTCATAGCTTTGCTTATTTGGTATACTTGACGTAGTTAAAAATACTAGAACTTCTTGATGAAAAACCAACCAAGGTGGTGATAGATGGTTTTGAGAAATTGTTTTCATCGCATACATTAATTTGAATTTTAGTAAATTTAGTTGCATGGAATAGATAAATCTCATGATAATTTTTTGTAGGAGGTTGGTGGAGTGGAAACCTTACTTTGACCTATGATAAGTATGCCATGTTCATATAATCAACCATTTCTATAAGTTCATGCAATTTACTTGGATTTGCAATAAGAGTAATTTTCTTTGCCACTGCAGGAGTTTCATATCAAAGGTTGAGGAAAAAATCCCAAAAGATTCTGATCTTATTGTTGTGTGCCAGAAAGGATTGAGGTTTTTTGTTTAAATTAGTACTCTTATCATTAAAAAATTTAATTGAAGTGCCTTTCATATTCTCCGACTATTTATTTTGCAGTATTCATTTGGTTAGATACTTGCATGCATCATTGTTATTAGACTAATAGTCCCAATCTGATGTATCAAATAATAGTGTGGAAAACTTTTTAAAGCAACATGATAGGTGGATTTGAAAGTTATTCGAATTGAAAGATAATTAAATAGAAAGTGATAATGGAAAATGAAAATGTAAGAACTAAATAAGAACAAAATTGTAAGAATTAAATCATTTTTTTGTGTTTCTATCTGTTCAATTTCAACCTTCACACTTCTTGTAACCAATGGAGTCTGACATTGTGAGCGAAATAGTTTTTAAATTAATTACATCACAATACAAATAATCTCTTAGAGGAGGGTCATAAATAACAAACTAACAAATTCACTAATAAATTTCCAATTTATTTATTTATGAAGCTGGCATCCAAATATTTCTATTTGTAATATTAACATAATTGTTAAAAAAAAAAAGTTTCCGCCTGCAAGAGTGATTGTTTTGTTAGGCACTTCATGTAAATACGTAGGGTTCAAAAGTTTATTTTGAAAATTTTTGAGTGCTACTTTGTAAATAAGCAAAATTCACATATCATGCACATTGACATCCAATGTCGATAAACATAAAAAAAAAAGAGAATAGGCCATGAAGTGGCAAAATAATGAAATATAATGAAGCAAGCATCTCCATCAATTTCTTTAGTGCAAAGCATTCTATATTGTAGAGTAACTATATTACAAAATCTCATGTAAGCAACACAATTAGTTATTTTATGCTAGAGAATTAAGATAACAAAACCGGAAGCAAGTAACTTAATTTATCTGGTATGGATAATCATGGAGAGGGGTACTGCCAACATTTACAGGATGACATTGTAAAGGGAGCATCAATTGGTTCTTTTGGAAGTAGTAATGCAAGGATTAGAGTTGAGTTTTCCCTGGGCATAATAGAAAAAAAAATTATAAAAACAACAAGACCAGTTCTTAAACATTTAAAATGCCTTGATAGGTAACAAATTCTTAGCATGGAATTTAGGATTAATAATCATGATAATAGAAGAAAAGGGTGGATGTAAATTAGCTCCTAGCATTCTAATCATCTGATAAGGCATGATGGCTTTGGCAGGCAGCTTTTGTGGGAAGGAATGATAAATATTACTATCAATGCGACTCTTCTACTTTTGGAGTCAACTTGTTACTGGTTGTGCTAAGACTCAAGCTTCCTTAAAAATGTCATTATAATAGAATTCACGGTTGTGTTTATGCAACTCAACATTCTCCAACAGGTTTTAATTATAAGATGGAAAAATAAGAAATTGAGAATAGTAATTTAAATTGATATCATATTGAAATTTATGCATGAAAGATTTTGACAGGATTTAAGCTCATATTTAGATTCGAACCTAAGGTTAGGATTAGGGTGACTTAAACTCAATTTTTTATAGGCCTCAATTCAGAGGCTAAACACTTGAGCTAGGTTCTAATGCATGCTTAGGTTTTGTTGTAGAAATTTATTTAGATGTAGTATTTTGCATTTGATTTGAGTCCAATTCAAATTTAAAAGGAGGTTCATAGAGCATAATTAATATTCTAATACAAACTGAAACTGAACTTCAGTGGTATGGATGTTGATGCTTGTTTAGAAACAAGGTGACAAATAGTTGATGATGGATCATCATGTATACCTTTTATTAGTTGTCATTATGTTTTTTTTAATGACCTTTGTTGTCTTTGTATTATTTGTCATTAGTCAGTTTTTCATGTAGGACTTGTATGAATGTGTGTCAAATTATTAAGATTATTATTCATTTTTACTTAAAGTTCGCATGTGATTGCCAAGCTTTAAAGTTAAGTGCTATATGATATGAGACCTTGGTTATAAAAAATGGATATTACATGATCTGCTCTCCATATCCTCAAATCTGGCTTGTCGCTATCTTCTCTTCCACTCTCTATCTTAAGGCGGAGTTGCCTCCTCTCATTTCTCTCCCACCTCATGTTGGATTGGTAGTAAAACCCAATGTAGTGAATGCTTTCTCGCAAAAATTAAGGAAAAAAAAATTAATGTAGTGGATGCAAATACACAAATTCAAAATATAAATAGATCTCCAAGCTAAATTCAATTCAAGGTTTGACACTCAAAAAGTTTCTTTTGAGGATAAGATTAAATGTAGGAACCAAATCAAGCTTTAAAAATGATATACTAAACAGTAAGAATAATAATAGTATGTTATAATAACACTTAAGTGTAAGTCGACCATGTATTGATCCAACAATCCAACCGTAAGTAATCAATGATGAAAAATTTTCGTAGACAAAAAAAAAAAAACTCTATAATTAGAGAATAATAACAAGAACAATGAGCTTATAATTAGCACAACAAATTTTGGATGGAGTTTAGCAACTGTCAATGATATGATAGTCAAAAGATGACAAGATTGTGCTGTTTGAGAGCACAAAAAAAGGTTCTCGTTAGAAAACAACAAAGGAAAATGAATTTACAACATAGGAAAGATTGGAAAGGCTATCAAGAGATTTAAGTCTATGACTAGAACGCTGACCTTCAAATCATTCACAGGTGTACTCTAAACACAAAGGGGCCATTTGAGATTACTTTTATTTTAAGTTCTTTATTTTTTGCTTTTATTTTATTTTGTTTATGTTTTGATTTGAAATAGAACATGTTTGCCATGTTTGATTAAGATATGATTGGTTTTGAAAACACTGAAAACACCTAAATGTTGTTTTGAGTGTTCTCAAAAACATCTTAATTTATTTCTATAAAGAAGAGATCAAAACATATAAAAACCGCACCAAACAAATACATTTTTAAAAACAAAGTGGAAAAAAAAACAGAATTGATCCCAAACAAGCTCTAAGGGTAGTAAATATCCACAAAATTAGAGATTTTTTTTTGTATTCAAATGTTCACCTCATAAATTCACATAACATGTTCCCTTTTATAGACTCTAAAAGACTTTCTTACTTTGCTATTATTTAATCTCGAAGAAGTGGCCAGCTAAGAGGGGATGGCAGTGGGAAAGACAAGCTCATAAAGTAGTTTTCCATTTTTTAAAAAAAAGGGAAAGAAAAGGGAAAATAGTTAATCCAAGGGTAGGTTCTGAGCCTTAAAAAAGGAGGTATTTATGATTGCATAGAATTGAAAAATTATGAGAAATGTAAATGCTATTCTTTTAATATTTTTAATTGAAAGGTAGACATGGCCAACCTAAAATAAGAAAAAACACATTGAAAGTCCAAAGATATGATAACCTGTTTACCAAATAACTTAGAAAGACCCCTAATACTTTAATGGCTCAAAAAATTTATATCCTCACTGCAATCATCTAATTAAAGTAAATACATAATAAACATAAAATATATAAGGATTTTATGATTGTGATGATGAAGTCTCAAGTGATGTTGACTACTATAAACTTTGAGATCTTTATTAACTCTCATCATCTTTGAAAAATTTGACATCAACAAAATTTGATCCTAAATTATATTTTGACAAACTTATTGAAGCCCCTCCAAGGGCGTCGATGAGATGTTAAAGGGTGGAAGATCTTTCTGACTGACCAAGTATCTATAATATTCGTGATTTTATGGAATAATAATGTATTCATCTAAACTCTAATGTGGCGTGTCTGATTTAGAGTAGTGGAATGAGACTTATGAAGGTAATAGAAAGTTCTAATGGATAATGAATTAGATGGAGTTATTGGGTATTTTTGGATATATTAAAGGGTTGATGTTGAAAAGGATAACAAAGAAGGGAGGGAAACATAGTGTTTGGAAGAGAATCAAAGCATCTGGTCTAGTTATGACTAATTATATCAAAATTCTTACATGAAGAATAATCATATCAACTCTCGCTACACACTTTTAAGACGCAAAAAATAAGTCATCCGAATCAAAATGTTGATGGGTATGTTTTCAACAATAGTATGTTAACTTAGGAAAAAAAATGTATTCCTGGAGGAACTTAACCCCTTGGCTTGTTTGGTGTTCAATTTAGACTGGAAATTTAGTAACGAAAGTCCTTGATGATTGAAGTACATGACATGCCTTTTGGATAAGATAATGTCCAACAGTGCAAGGCTGGAATCGCTGCTTGGAACTCTCTCTTGCAGTTAGAATATTTTTGACAGGCTTCGTTTAACTTTTCACTTAACTATGTAACATGTTAAGTACTTTTTGATGCCAACACATACATCACATGCAATCTCAAACATCTTTTTGAAGTTGGGTAACTTCATTATAGAAGTTTCGATCAACAATACCTTGATCCTCTCAGATGCTCAGTTCGCAGTAATTCTCCATTCTAAAGGCAGATGGTGATGGAGCTATAATGATACTGAATTTGCATGCAATCTCGTATAAAAGATGGCTAAACCCTGAAAATTCTAGATAGATTACTAGTGGAAGTTGCACACTTATTGAATGACTTTAATCTTTTGGATATATGCTAATGCTCCCTTACTAGATAGTACAGATAATGATAATTATATAGTTTTTCTAGGTGGTAGAAAATTACCAAATATTGTCAATGATTAGAGTAAGTTCTTATCAACACAAGCCATTTTGTATGAATGGGAATGAGCTTCAACAAAGAGGTCGATCTTGGTGAAGGCTGCCTTCAAGACAATGTTTTATGTAACGCTTGTTATTAATGATGAGCTTACATTATGTTCCCTCATATTTTAAAAAATGTGAAACCAAATATGATGATGTGCTTTTTGTCTATCTCAATTGTGGTAGAGGACATAACACATTGCATAATAGCAAGAGAAGACCATCTTATGCCCCCTCAACATAATTAACATCATCTCATGGCTTGTAAGTCAAGTCTCCTTAGGGTCAAATGATGGTATATCATTATCCTTTCCCTTGCCAGAGGTTTGGATGTGCATGTCTTTCGGGAGAAATAGCCTTCCCACATTTCAAAATATAAAGGATCTAGACTTGAGGCTAGAAGCTCAAGTGACCTTTTGCTTCCCCTTGAGATTATCAGCAACAACACTATAACCATGCTTAATCATAGTCAGGTAGGAAGCGTCTACCTTAAACTTTTAGAGATAGACTCTAACCTAATTAGGGAATTTTCTCACTATAAAAGTTCTTAGGTACCACTCTTAATCAACAACTCTCTGTAAGGCCTCATAAAGGGTATTCACTGGATGCATAAGGATTTTGCACTAAATATTAGGGTCATATCCAAACTAGATTATATGGAGGGCGTGGGTGAGGCTATGATGCTACTTAGTAGGGTAATGAGTTCTTGTAAGAATCAATCCTAATAGGTTAATAAAAGGTACCTAGATTTAAGGAATTCTTTTATCTTTTCTCATGATCTTATCGGGAACTGGCTAGATTGTTGGATTTGATGCTTTTGGTTGATTTATAAAGTTTTGCCATGTTTAACCAATTTTATCTATGCAAACTAACCATTTGATCCTTACATCAGAATCTTCTAGTCAAAATTTATTTTTATATTTGCCAACCAATGAATGAAGATTTTTGAGTCAAAGAGACCATTGAAAGTGGGTGGGTTTATCTTCATTTTTTGAGTAATATTATTATTTTGATCTTGCTTCTAATGTTAAGAGTAGGTGCCTCCTCCATTGAGAGGTCATTGAGTAAACATGTCACCTTGATAGGGTCCATAATTCGAGTAGTATAGACTGTAGTATCAGTGGTTTTATTAAAACTCATTGCATATAGATTCATATTGAGGGTGTGAGTGAGGCTATGATGCTACTTAGTGATCTCAACATTGATTCACATGAATTGGTGGTCTTGGAGGTATGTGAATATTCCTAAGCCAAATATTGTTTTTCATCTTTGGGGTAGTATTGAGCATGAACACTTAGGGGAGCCTTCAGATGAGGGACCTCATGGTTTGGCTCTTCTTGAGAGTAGGTTCAGAGTTGCCATCACATCCCTCAGGGTGAGCTAGTAGGTTTGTTTCTTGGTTTTAATCAACATGAGTTGAATGGCCAAACTAGCTCACCTCAATGATGTCTATTAAGCATCTCAGATAGCATATGACTATATATGGCCATAGTATCAATGAGTCGCTTATGAAGGCAAGTGAGCATGAAATGGGTGACACTCCTGATGTTAGTGAGATCAAATGAATATAATGAGATTAGTTTTATTTTTCTAAATAAGAATTATTGGGCAATTCTTAGGCTTTTATATGAAATTTGATTTAGTAAATATGGATAAATCAATCTAAGTTCTTGCCAAGGGAACTTATTACTAAATTTGTTAAAATAAATGAATGATGTGAATTTAAGCACCAAAAAAAAAATCTCCATGCTAAATTCAACAAGCACTTGGTTATGAATTATAAAATCAAGTTATCCATTCAATATTTGATACTCAAATTTGTCCGAGGGTGACCCTTTTATGTTATTTCCTGTTTTGAAGAGTTGTTATAACCTTTGAATTTTGAGCAAAAAAACTATTATTTCTTTTGTGATTTGGGTTAACTCTGGTATCATTTTGTATATCTTTTATGACTCTCTTTTGTCTTTTATTGTTTTAGTGCAAAATGCATTTTTCAAAAAAAAAAAAAATTATTGATTGTGCCTGACGTTTCCTATTATATGGTGATGCTCTCTGTTGGCCAGTTTCTAAGTTGAAAGATTTGAATTTTATTTTCTTCTATCCAATGAATGCGATCCTTCTAGGATAAGCCTTGAGGCATACTGCTACTTGGTTAAAAATATGATTTTTGGATTGACAAGCGTTGGAGTGGGATGATATGTTTTTATAGACAGTGTGCCTATCAATAATTGGATAAGTATTTTTGGAAACTCTTGAATTTTTTCATAGATGATATTAAACTCTCGTATATAAGAAAATTTGCAGTTATAGAATATTAGAATTTATTTTCTTAACTTTGCACAATGATCTCACATATAAATAATTTAAAGAAAGCAATCGAGACACCATAAATTTTTTATGTGGAAAATTAATAAAGGGAAAAGCTGGGCTTGACCTTGGTAAAATAATCTATTATATTGGTTGAGATTACCGTTGTCTGCTCTTCTTTTTAATTAGATATGAGAGTATAAAGTGATAACTTCAGACTAGCTTATTCTTCGATGTTTGTGGTGAAAGTAATGGGGATGAAGATGTTGGTTGAGTGGTTGATGATGATGTGATGGCGATAGTTGGGCGATGATAATAGGAATTAGACAATGATGGTTTGACAACGATGATGACATTTTGATGATGGTGGTCAAAACATGACGATGGAACACCAGTTGTTAGACCACAGTGGCCAGACAAATATGTTTGATGATTGGTCAGGTATATATGGTAAAGCAATAGTGTTTGCTAGTGAACAAAAAATAGTGGTTGACTAGGGTGGTCAGATGATGATAGTGAAATGATGGCGGTCGAATGAGTTGATTGGTTTACCGTGGTTGGATGATGGTGTTCGTTGGCACTCATCGATTTTGGACATTTGATAGAGCTGTAGAGTTATTCAAATCACTAAGCTCTCTCCAAACTCAAATTCTAGGACTCCATCTGAAAAAGGGGGAGGGTCCTATTAATAATTATTTAGTGTGAGATTTTTAATGAATCTTCCCAAAATTATGAAAAACTTCATTGGATAGTTCATATTGATTCCTTTGATTATAGACTGATGTTTCAGAATTTAAGTGTCTGAATGATCTTAGATTGAGTGGTATCAAACTCCTTGGATTCCTCTCACAAATGTGATTGATTTGATTCCAAATATGTAAGATTTGGGAACTGTTTGATTCTTTAATTAATGCCTTAAGGTTTTCAACTATATTTTATGTGCTTGATTTGGACTCATTTGGATTTAGATTGGACCACTTTTGTACATTTGGTTTGGCTGTAAATTTGTTAAAATTGTTGCTTTGATGATCTTTAGTTTTGACTCTAGAATTATCTCATCCAAAATGTACTGAGATTCATTTTTGATCTGGTGGATTTTTTGGTGATATCAATTCTTATTTTTTATTCTATTGTGCTTGTTAAAGATTTTAATTTATTTTCTTTACCAAAATGAGCGAACTATGAGGGGATTTATTTATAGCAGTCCAGTTTTGGCTTTTCCTTGGTCCCATCAACGGTCTTGGCTTGGCACAAGCACAACACAAAAAAGAAGAAGCCTGATTAGATGTGGCCCGTTCAATGATAAACTCGATTAAATACTTAAAAGAATGAAAATATTAACTTGTACTAAAAGAAAGAAATTGTCTTTTTTTTTTTTTGGTAAAGCATAGGAATTTTCTTATACGCATTTTGGAGACTTAAAAGTGTCTATAGACTACAGTAGAGTAATCTATTCATAGACACATTGGACAAGGAAAAATTTACTTGCATTTTCTTGGGTACCCTGTACTCTCTGGAGCTATATGCTATTGTTATTTGCTAAAAATTTTTTGGCAACAAAAAAAAAAAAAAAAATCAAGGTATCTTTTTAAATGTGGAGAGGTGTTCAAGAAATACCTTCATTCTATAGGTGTAATACAAGCTATCTTTGAAAAAGTTCATATTTTTGGTATGTTGCTAAAGATTTAACTGTTATGAATGTAAATATTAAAATTTAGGTGTTGCATATGTAAATATTTATGAATTGTGTGGTATGCATGTAAATGCCCCTATAATAAATGTGCTTTGGGCATGCACACTGTCTAATTAAACTTAATCTAAATGTGTCCTTAACTCTACATTTATTGACAGATCTCTTGCTGCCTGTGAGCAACTCTACAATGCAGGTTACCGGAATTTGTTCTGGGTACAGGGTGGTTTAGATGCTGCCGAGGAAGAGGTATTTTGCGACTATCAAAATACAGTATAACATATGGCAAAGTTTATCTGCTTCTGGTTTTATTCTCACTGGATGCAGGATTTTCAACGAGAAGGTCCTCAGCGCTTCAAGCTTGCTGGTATCGGTGGTGTTTCTGAATTTCTTGGGTAAGCAGCAGACATGGTAAAGCTTGTCAATTGTCACATTAATCAGGATTTCTATCTCTTTCTTCTAATTTAGTTACAATAATTACATTATAAAAGACATTTTTTTTGCTGTTTGGGAATGTCAAATATAAGCTTAAGAGCTTTTCGAGCTGCTTATGAGTTATGAAGTTGCGTAGAATTTTTATGCACGTAAAGGTAAATTTGTTGTTTGAACAGCTCTTCCATATCCAAGGTAATTTTTGTGAGTGCAGTTGGACCGACCAACAACGTTCTGTAGCTGCGAAGGAGGGGTGGGGCTACCGCCTTGTCTTCACTGGTCGCCTGGTGATTTCTTTCTTCCCAAGGCCCCGTTTGGGATCACTTTTATTTTTTTGTTTTGTTTTGTTTTGTTTTTTTCTTTTTGCTTATATTATGATTTGAATTTAATCATCTTGGGCTGTTGTAGTTGTTTTTAAAAATACTTACAATATTTATTAGGCGGTTTGAGTGTTTTTTTAAAAAGAAGTGATCTGTTTTTAAAAACTAAATAATAAAACATATAAAAGTTATATTAGCCAAACCTATTTTCAAAAATGAAAGTAAAAATAAAAACAAAAACAAAATATAAAAGTCATGATAAATTGGTTCTAACATAACCTTTTTTTTTTATCCTAACAAATGATGCATTTGGAATTCAAGTGATGAGTACGTGTATTGAACCATGACTATGGTCTGGTTTATTTTTTGCAGCTTGGGTTAATTCTGCTTGCAGATGCTCTATTTCTGGGTGCACAACGATTAGGCCCTGTGCTTGAAGAACTAAGATCTCATTAAGACATTCATGATGCCTTGCTTTGAAATGGGGATTTGTTATATTTTTTTGAATATCCTATACTGTCATTCTTCATCTGATTTTGTTGAAGCTCTCCTTTTGTTTGGTTTATTTATATCCTTATCCTGTTGTTTATGATCTGTACCTCTTTATTCTGCTCTGTTGTAAGTATCCGTTTTGCTTTGTGCTTCAATGTGCTACCTGGTTGGCAGGTATCCGTTTTGCTTCTCAAAATGTGTTTTAAAAAAAGCTTTCTTTCTTGTATTCTTCTACTTGGAAAAAGATGGGAAAAACAGAGCACTAATTATGTTCGAGTTAACTCCAGGTGAGGATGGACGGTGGGCGACATTTGGGATAACTTGTGATTCAAAATAAGATATATCATAAAGTATGATATATTATTGCTATGTAGTATTTTTTTTCAATCTTAAAAGTTTATTTTCTTAGCTGAAAATATCTGTAAATCAAATGTAGGAGGGAATTATTTTTATGAGACATTTTTTTTTAATATAAGACAAGTATAGAATGATCTAAAGAATTAAATTAGGAAACATTTATAGTTTTATAAATAAATACATATTTTTGGTTCTGTCATGAATTTGTGAGAACCTGATTTTCATTTGTGCTTTAATTTGTGGGTTCCGAAAATAAGATCTGTAGCATATGCAAGCTCCTTTGAAGTTGGTAAATTGGTCATCTTAAATTTTCAACCTGCTAATAATCTTCTGAAATTGTATCTTGCTGAGTCCCTTCGTAAGCATCTTTCCCTTATGGATACATGATGCATAAATTAAACCATTGTCTAATTCTTCTCAAAATGTTTTGTTTTATCATGTTGCGTTAAATTGTATCAATATTACAGCAGGCTTGTTATTATAATCGAATCTCATAGGTTCATCTCACTTATTCTTTAGATTTATGAAGAATTTTAAATTATGATAACTCGTATATGGTGCCTGTGCGCTCCTCTCCGGACATGGGTTGCGAGCAGCGCAACTCTTGCAATCGCGGGTGACAGATTTCTTTTTCATGCTTTCTTTCTTAATAATCTTCATTCATTTTTAGTCATTTCTTATATATGTTTTGTGATAGGATTTGAAAGTTAGTTTTTTGTCTGTTTGTCTCTTTTTTCCCTCGAGTGATGTATCCTAGGATTCTAGGTAGTGATACCATTGTATTTTGGTCTTTAGGTGTTGATTATGTTCCCAATCTCTTCCAACATCCCTCTCGCTTCTCTACCTCACCTTCCTCCTTCCTGTAGCTGCTTTGACATAGTTGTTTGGTTGTTCATCCTATAGTTTCTTGCCATCCAACCATCTTCCTCGTTCATGTAGCCTCAGGACAGTCCTCCTTTGGTTGTTAAGCAGTCCAACACCTTCATTTCCACTTGCCGCCTCCTCCGTCTTCATTTTCGCTCACCGCCTCCACTACCTCAACCATCATTCTCGCTCACCATCGCTGCCAAAAATAGCTGTTCTAGCCACCTAACTACGCTCACCATCGCTGCCAAAAATAGCTGTTCTAGCCGCCTAACTAGTTGTTTTTCTCATTCTAGCCTACCGCCCTTCCCTTAACTTCAACCCTTGTTGCCGATGTCCTCCTCCCTTGCAGCTGCAACCCAGGGCCGTCTTTTCTGGCCTGTTCGCTGCTGCTCGATCCCTCCTCTTTGCTGTCGCCTCCCTTCCAGCCTTTTCTTTTGCTATCCTAATGTGAATCTGTGTCGTCTTTGTTGTAATTTCCTATTTCAAATATGTTTGATTGTAACCACCTATTAGTTTTCTGACTTAAAACAATAATATTTCATTTTTTATTATGATTTGAGTTCACTTTGGTATCATTTGACAATAGAGCTAGCCCAACCCTAATCCTATCATAGATTTTTCAGCATTCCCCATATCTCTACTAAAATTTTTTTTCTTTACCACTTTACACAACATTCACCTCATTCCACCAATGACCCATTCACACCCAAACCAAAGTATTGCTTAAAAATCAAAATACTACTTAAAATTTTGAGGCCTTCATAGTTATCCGATGCATTATAGTTTGTAAGCCTTAAAAAAATTTATACAATTCAAAATAAATTCATCATTTTCTTATGACTTAATAAATATTATCTAAAATTAGCATCATTTATAATATTAACAATATAAAAAGGGGCAATTACATTCAGATCACCCGAAAACTTGCTATTTACAAATCAACTACGCCATCTTCCAATATCAAAATTCATGGTAAGACTCCAACCCGTATTTTTCACTTCTATAAAATTCTCGGAAGTTTGATTGTGACAAGTGTAAATATATAGTTTAGGTTAATTTGTAAATATCAATGTTTATTTTACATTTAGCCCATTTAAAAAATTATTGTACAAATCATCCAGAGATATTATACTTAGCTCGATAGATGATAATTGTAAGCGGATGCCTACTCTTTCATTGGAGCTTATTAACATTGTCTCAGAACTTAGGGGTATGGTGCATAAAACACTGATTAAGCGTCCAGCAATAGATAAAAAGCCACCGGACAGAACAAGGTAAAGCTGAACAAGCGGAACAGAAAGCAGAAAAACAAAGCAACCGGATGGATGCTCTCTTTTCCCAGCTGTCCCTCCTAGCCAACGAGGCTCTCGACAACGAAGACTTCAACCCCTCGCGCATCGAAGAGCTTCTCCACCTCTTCGAGCAGGAAGCACGCGCCTCCTTGACTGCCGCCGAAGCAGAGCACCTGAAAGCCGCTCGGGGCTGCCATGAAAGAGGCTGAAGACCAACTCAATTACATCCTCGACGCCGCCGCCGAAGACTTCTGCTCCTCCTCCTCCAGGGCAGAGAGCGCAGCTGCGGCCTCCGAGAAGTACATGGAAGCTGCGTTGGCCTCCGCCATGGCTGCCATGAAGTCTGCCTTCGCTAGCTCCAAGATCCATCCTTCGTAATTGGCGTGGATTTGTGTTGGAGCTAATAAAGATCCCTAATTTGTGTTTGTGGTGATCTGTATGTTGTTGTGGTGATGGATCGAAGTAAGGATTTGGTGTAAATAGTCTATTTGGTGTTAGGTTGGAAGAATAAAATTGTTGTTTTATGAAAGTTGTGGTTCGTTGATGAAGGATTTGCAGGATCGCGTTTGGAGAATGGAAAAGATTTGGGAGAAGATTTAAGTTGGGAATTCAATATATTATTCGAATTTGATTTGATGAATTTATATTTCATTTTAATGAATAAAAATCTCTGGATAAAAAATGAGTGATCATATCTTGATTTGTTTTATTTAGATACTATTTGCGCTAAAACCAGCTGTGGTGTTCGCCCATCAATCATCTTTGGTAAATCATGATCTATAAGCATCGATCTTATATATTTGTATTTAAGATTTAAGTAATGCGATGCGTTTATCTGAAAATATTTGCTTTTTCGATTTTCAATTATAGTGCTGGGTATGTTTTTTTGACCCCTGTTTTAAGGAGTTTCGTCTGCTGGGAGATTTTTTAGTGTATTATTGTTCGCCCATCAATCATCTTTGGTAAATCATGATCTATAAGCATCGATCTTATATATTTGTATTTAAGATTTAAGTAATGCGATGCGTTTATCTGAAAATATTTGCTTTTCCGATTTTCAACTATAGTGCTGGGTATGTTTTTTTGACCCTTGTTTTAAGGAGTTTTGTCTGCTGGGAGATTTTTTAGTGTATTATTTCCTAAAATAGCATAGCCCACGTGACATGACTACACAACAACCAAGCATAGCTTAGCTTGTTGGATTGATCACCACGTTTGATACAATATGAATAAATTTTCATTATCCACCATCACGTTTCATACAATATCAATAAATTTTCATTATCTAGCAGGAATCTAGAGGCATGATGATTCGAGGCAACTTTTTAAATTCAAACTTTGATTAAAAAATATTTAGAACTCTTATTAAGTAAACTTATGGTTAAAGTGACCGATTCAACAAGATAGACCCAACAGTAAAAAAATCGGCCAAATCTAAGTTAAATTAAGCACATATTAAGTCATTTTACCACTTGTGGAAGCGTTACAGACATAATTGGAAGCTCTAAGACAAAAAATATATGACATACTTATAGTCAAATCAAACGTCTCGACTAGACAAATCCAACGAGCCCAAGATCGCTCAATTTTAAGACAGTCAAATGCCATCAAATATCATTTGATCAAGGGGATCTCTTCAGGTCATTGGATCAAGAGTGCTTTGGATTTCTGCCTTATTTGCAATTTGGATTCTATAAATAACCTTAAATCCCTCGTCAAGGGGGACCAAGACCTTGGGCAAGAGCAAGTCCAAAGCTTGCAGAATAGGGATTTGCAGCTCTACATCATGTGATGCATATCTGGTCACCGTTGCCTCAGATTGCCGCCACCTCGAGATGCAACCTCTTTCGGTCGTAGCCGACTCATCCCTTCGGGCACCCGCCTAAGGCTACATACACTGTTGCCTCTTCCGACCGTCGCCATTTTTACCCCATGCTATTCGCGATGTCCTAACGAGCATTGCCTGTTGGGTCGATCCCGACGAATAATATGTGTAAATGTGTCGGGATTGCACAAGTATGATTGTACTATGGATCCAAGAGATTTAACTCGTGTCACATTTGCATGTTATGAGTTTGTATTTAATGACATTTTTTAAACTAACGAGCACTAGCATGTTAGTAATTTTGAAGTATCTTGTTATTGCTTTTTGCTGGCTTGTTTGTTATAATCATGCGCCATTTTCGTGCTTTTTGATGTGCTTGTGCATACCTATTTTGATATGCATGGAGTATATTAAGGTGGTCTTCTGCAGGGGGCCAAGTCATATATATGCATAAACACATATACAATAAAGAGGGGGAGCAACATAATGATTATTATTAACCATTTTTTATAGGCGCTGCCTAGTTCCCCCACTAGGCATGACCCATACATGTTGCATGCTTGTTTGGCATTCCCGCCGATATTATTTTCATGCAGGTCGAGTCTTTTTTTATCTTTTTCTCTAAACTTTTTAGAGTCCTAAGAAGATTTTGTATTAAAAATAAGGTGCGAGCATGAGTTCCATGTAGCCCGATGACCGAAACCATGCGACGAGGACCAAGAATTGTTTGCTCATGCATCGTACCTTAATTCTAAATTCCAACTATCTTCTTCTTTTCTGGGATATGTCACTGGCCCAATGACACCATTTTTTT